TGGAGAGAGAGGAGCGAGAGACAGACAGAGAGAGAGGATAGAGAGAAGAGAGAGAGAGATGGGAGAGATGAGAGAGAGAGAGAGGAGAGAGAGAGAGACGGAGAGAAGAGAGAGGGGGTTGAAGAGACAGAGAGAGACGGAGAGAGAGAGAGAGGAGAGAAGAGAGGAGGAGAGGTTGAGTGAAGGGTGAGAAGAGAGACAGACAGACAGAGAGAAAGAGACGAGAGAAGAGAGAGAGAGAGATGTGAGAGAGAGAGCGAGAGAGAGGAGAGAGAGGAGAAAGAGAGAGAGAGAGGAGGAAAGGGTGAGTGAACAGGAGAGGTGAGAGACAGACAGGAGAGAGAGATGAGAGAGAGAAGAGAGAGGAGAAGAGAGAGAGAGAGGAGAGAGAGAAGAGGGAGAGGAAGAGAGAGAGAGAGATATAGACAGAGACAGAAGAGTAGCGAGCTGAGAGAGAAAATAGAGACAGAGAGAGAGGAGAGACGAGAGAGAGATGAGCAGAGAGAGAGAGCCGAGTCGAGAGAGAAGAGAGAAGATGAGAGCAGAGGAAGGAAGGGCTGAGAGCGGAGAGAGAGAGAAAGATTACAGAGAGGAAGGCTGTGGAGTCTTACTGTGTGTGATTTAGAGGCATACGAACGATTAAGTGAAGCGAGGCTGCTGTGCGGGGGTTGGGGGGGTAGCGTCGCGTCAGTGAGAAGCCCCCACTACCTTGGCATATTATTACCCACACACCCAAAATCTAGACATATGTGGCGAGAGGGAGGTTAGATCTTGTCATTAAAATTGCGGGAGCTGGCAATTCCCACCACAAGCTAGATACCATCATGGGTGGCAGCCAGAATGTGAATAGTTTGAGTGTGTGTCGCGAGGCTGGGCGGGTGTGGCGTGGGGAGGTGGAGAGGGGGTAGGGCAGGGAGGGGGGGTAGTATGATATTATCAGTTCGAGGGGTTGGGGGGAGGGTGAGTGGGTGGGAGGGGATGGAGTCTGAGTAAGTTTGCCAAGGCTACTCGTTCCGTAGCGTTTAGATTGTTGCAAACCATTTAATTACCAGCTATTACGGTAAGTATGATCTGTGGTATGTATTGTCTGTGGTGTAAGACGTTACCGCCCCATATTGAAGGGGGAGTCGAGACGAGAGTCGATTGGGGGCTGGTTGTAGTGAGTGTAGTTGTTGTGTCACAGAGAGCGATAACGGACGAGATGATAGTGTGACCTTCGTGATGAATATTAGTTGGAGCTGCGAGTGTGTGGTGTTCAATGAAACAAACTCGGAGCTCATAAGCTGTAGAGACGTCGTATAGTCTAGGGGGGGTGAGGCGTGGTATAGTGACGTTGGAGTGATTTTTTTACTGAGGCAATATAATTGGGGGGGGGGGTGTGAGCGGGGCGGAGAGCGAGAGAGAGTGAGGGTCAGGGGGCGGAGTGAGAGTAGTTCTTGCTGAGATCCGGAGGGGGGGGGGGGGCGCGTGTGGCAAATGGCCGACCTCGAGGCTCTCACAGCGGGGTGGGTCGCGGCGGAGAGAGTTTGTGCGGGGCGGCGCGGGGGGCGCGGGGAGGAGGTAGGAGATAGGCGGGGGGGGGTTTCCATGCCGATAGATGGGCGGCGCGGGGAGGGGCAGGGCGGGAGGAGCGGGGGGGCCGGTGCGGGGGGGGGGGGGGGGGGGGGGTTGCGGCACAGCGTAACGTACGCCTCTGTTGCGTCGGACGCAACTGGGGGGGGGAGGGGGCGACGTAGGCCAAA